CAGGATAACAAGATATTTTTTTTCTGTTGTATACCTGTACGTCGGTCATCAAGAGTGCGAGAATGCTATAATAACGAGGCATTCATCATAAAATAAAAAATGGACAAATAATTTTAATTAACACACTATAGAAATAAATCTGTTGTTTGCCCAGAATAGTCATGATGTGCCCGGTAATGTAATGTTTTCATGACCATATTTAGGCATGTGTGTTTGTCAAATAAAATTTGATAATCTGGACAAGGCCTTGATTTTGATCTTTATAGGGCGCGTGCTTCTAACAGGAGCAGAATACTCAACGGCTATGTGAACAATATTAACAAAGTCATAATTGGTGGTTTACTTAGGCCTATATCGACTTTAGGCCAAGAAAAATTACTAGAATGCAATGCAAAATTATCTATAAAAAAAATAAAAAAAAAACTCAGCAGGTCACAGTACCGAAAAATACAAGACAAATCACAAAAGACCTACCTGTGGACCAGCGCGTGACACCACGTAAGTGTACGCGACGCGCTCAGTACACCCACGAGTTGATTAATTCAGATCAATGTGGCACATTCAGTCAAGGCTTATCAGTTCCCTGATGGTTACTCTAGCACTTATTGCTATGTACTCTGTGTTTTGATAATTAAATTCGTTATATCGAGTGCGTTGACATACCTTTCTTTGTGTTTTACGTTTTCGTATTAAAATGAAAATCGAGCTGCACTTTTTGTTCCCCCGTTGTGCTGCGTGGAGCGTGATAAACGCACTCAAACGTTCAGATTATTTTCCCCGTCACTTGTGTATTTTGCACCCATCGTTATCGTTTATAAGTTCAATGAACACCTCGATGACGAACGAATCATAAATGATCTGCCTTAAATATACAAATATGTTGCCAATATTAAGAAATATTCTAACAAGCCCCACTCGACCATTGCGTAGAAGGAACCATGTAGATTCATTAGTGGCTTGAGGGTGTTGGTTCCAAGGTTCCATCAAGGTCTCAAGGGGAGAGGTGCCCGCGCTATTTACTAATCTTATATTTACCGTGCATTCATTTATAGTACACATTAACGGGAAAATAGTAAGATGCTAGATGCACGATCGTCGCTTTTACCCAACACAAGAAATTACAATTCCCACACCATTAAGGAACAAAAATCCACATCATAAATTTCGATTAAATGATTTAAATATTTATTTAATAATAATGATATTTGATAATGGAATAATTATATTACGTGTAACAATAATGATAACAGAGTAAAGATAGCTCTATAAATGTAAAACAATAAATAACCAAATAATAACGAACATGCCCCTATAGGCAGCCAGCCACGAGGTTACATAAGGTAGAATGAAGCGAATAACTTATTAAATGTTTTACTTCAGGACGTGCAGTGACAGTAATTGGGGTTTCTTAAAAGGTGAACTATTTTCCCCCCTATTATACAGATTCCCCCAGGCTAAATGTCGCTTATAAGTGTCACGGCCTGACGGCCATACAGCATGCCAACTCAGTGTATGTCGTAAGATATTCGCTGTTAAAAGCCATCGCATAACGGTCGTTTGATTGGTCGTTCTTCGTAAAAACCACGCATATCGTGCAACGGCAAGCTCAGTGACGGATCTAGGAATTCGAAATAGAGGGCCCAGGGAGGAACTTTTACAGATGGAGGGTCTAGATAGACCACCTCAGCACCACCATGGTTGGGGCTGAGGTAAGAAAATTATGATTATGGTAAAAAGGCACTCTAAATGATCGGAAAAGGCACTCTCAATCTTAAATTTGAATATAATTTTCTATTTTTTTCTTCATTAAAAAAAAAACTACCCCAATTGAATCCGCCACTGAAGCGAATCAAACATCGTTATCGTCACAGTACTGCACCGTTACATTTAATGATTCGGGCTGCCGCGTATGATCGAATATAGCCTGTAACTGTACTATAATAAATTTTGTTTAATTACTTACTATGAATATTTCAATAGTTTTTAGCTTCCAACATTATAAAAAAATAATTATAAAAAAAATAATTCACAGACTGTAAGTAACTGTATCGGTTATTGTAACGGTAACCTTAACTGTAACTGTAACTAACTGTATCGGTTATTGTAACTGTAACCTTAACTGTAACTAACTTCAGAGTGTTGTTACAGTGACACTGTTACTGTATCTGTAATTAACTGTATCGGTTATTGTAACTGTAACTAACTATATCTGTTATTGTAACTGTAACCTTAACCGTAATTAACTGCAGGAAGTTGTGATAGTGACACTGTAACTGCATCTGTAACTAACTGTATCGTTAACTGTAACTGCATCTGTAACTAACTGTATCGGTTATTGTAACTGTAACCCTAAATGTAACTAACTGCAGGAAGTTGTTGTAGTGACACTGTAACTGTATCTGTAATTAACTGTATCGGTTATTGTAACTGTAACTGATCGGTTATTGTAACTGTATCTGTAACTAACTGTATCGGTTATTGTAACTGTATCTGTAACTAAGTGTATCGGTTAATGTAACTGCTCTGTAACTGTATCGGTTATTGTAACTGTATCTGTAATTAATTGTATCGGTAACTTTAACTGTATATATAACTACAACAACTGTAACTGTATCTGTAGATAACTGAAAACTGTATCTGTAACTCTATGTGTATCTGTAATGTAAGTTTATGTGTATCTGCGTATTACTAACTGTAACTTGTACATGATGTCTGTAACTGTACTGTAATTAACTGTAGCTTTAACATATGCATAAAATTGTTAAAATAACGCTGTTAATCTTGAATAATAATAACAAATAACAATAATGATTGTAATTATAATGATGATAATAGCCTAATTATAGTTAATAATCGATTTGTTTTACAGTTGACTATTTACATAAACAATTTTGCTATGTGTTATCATACTTCATCCATAATTATACACAATCATAACAGGCCTACCGCAGAAATAATCTACCGTACCATCATAATTCACGAAAGTTGATATCATTAACTGTAACTATTATTTATATATGTAACAACAAGAATCCGTATTTATTCGGGGCTAAATAATTAGAATAGAGTTCAGTGGATAATGCTCTCTGAGGAGATGTCTATGACACATAATTATTATTTATTTATAATTATTATGATAATAATAATAATAATAATAATAATAATAATATTAAAATAATAATAATAATACCGTAATAATAATAATAATAATAATAATAATAATAATAATAATAATAATAATAATAATAATAATAATAATAATAATAATAATAATAAAATGTCTATCAAATGCTTTTATTAAACAATCCAATTACCACTGTTGCGTATTCGTTGTTGAAATTAATCATGGGTTTTTAGATTGTTATCCTATTTAATCCAACATAATACACAATTATAGCACATACCATCATAATTCATGAAAATTTATATCATAACGATAATTACTATTTATATATGTAGCAACTAAATCCGTATTTATTCAACGCTAAACAATCAGAATATAATTTATATAGGACCTATGTGGAAGCAGAGATTCCATAACTGCTTTTATTTACGTTTCGCGTTGAAGATTATATGTATGTTTTTATATGTATGTGTATGTAATAGGCCTATGTATGTATGTGTGTGTATATGTATGTGTATGTATATATGTGTGTATGTACGTATGTTTGTTTTTTTTGTGCATTAATTTCTTGATTTTTGTATATATCAAAATCACCTTTATGACAGATTAGTAATCCAATTGATGATTAAAATTGGAAAATGGGTTGGGGGTAGAAGCGCATTGAAGAAAGAGTTAAACGGAATGATTAAATATGCAACTCATTAATCTCTTGATTTTACCCTTATATAATTTAAAGTAAGGTTTTGGTAGATTAGGTGTCAGGTTGTATTAACTTTGGTATGTGCTTCTTGTAGGACAGACAGAGTGTGTTTTATTAATTGCCTTATATTTAATAAAAATTTTGTTTCTTGTTATATTTGTTTGATTATAATGCACCGTTTCAAACGTGTGCCATGGACCTGAAGGTGTAAATCCAAATAAATATATAAATCAATATAACAACTCAATACTAGCATTACATCAAACTTAATCTACACTTAAAATGTAATTAAATATTTGTAGGAAGCAGTGCCTTTTTAAACTCGATATGTACCGTAATTATGATATAAATATTCAGGCGGAGAGGAAGCATTCTGTTTGAATATCAGTTCGATAAAAGACAGACAATTTTGAGTACAGGTATGTCGAGTAGAAGTAGTATTAGTATATCATGTTGGCATGGAATAATCTATATCTAACACGACACAAGTAGGCCTATTATAGGCCTATATAATTATGCTTCTGTAAATAAATATTTCTACATAGGCCTAATAACGCAGATTATAGAGGATAGGAGATTCCCATCCATATAATAATACACCATGTCTTAATCTCGAGCACTTGCATATTTCCGATGGAAATCATCTTGAATATTTTTTTACAAATACCACTGTCCCTGACCGAATTGTTTTTATATATTTGATCCCTTTTGTTAGGTTAGAATTCAAGAACAAAGTGCCGCAGTTCGGACGTCGATGGACAACACTGTTTGTATGATGTATCCCATAATCCTCGGGAAATCAGGTCAGCGTTACGCATATACAATCAACATGGATTAAAGTATTAGATATGACCTGATATAATGAAACCAGCTTGAAAAACAAGCGAATGCTAGATTTTAGTTTTACTCGAGTTTACATCATTCCATGATCATACTGAATAGCGGCAGAGTAAATTGAATCAAACAACGTCCACTATTTTCCCCAAATTATTAAGCCACATGATACTTATCTTAATACAATGGGCTAATCGGATGGCTATTGGTTATATATGATTATATATTATTTATAATGTTTATAAATATTAATATGGTTGTTCGAATTATTTTCTCTTAGGGCAAACGATATTTTAAAAATTATTTATATGCAGGGCCGGGGCGGGCAGCCCTATGAGAACTTATTATTTTTTTTACTGTAAGGCCTCTATGGTTTTATTTTATGTTTTAAACGAAAAGGAATGGCGATACTATTGTTAATTTTTTTTAAAGAAATAAAATTGTCAAACATAAATATTTAAAAGAATGTGGTAGCTAGTGGGAATTTCCTAAGTAGAATTATGTATACCTTATAGTTATAGTTTGTTATAAGCTAAACGAATTTTCCTTCCTGGACCTTGTGCTAATAATAGGTCGCCCATGTTGGTAATATACTTTGTAAAATGTCCTCCAGAGTGTAAGGTTCAGTCACACTGGTGGTCACTCGAATCTCTCAACTTAACGCCCTCTACAGAATAAAAATAGCAAGATGGCTGCTCCCATGGTTCGCAATTGTGCTGCAAAATTTGTTGGAAATTTTGGTGTATATTACAACAGTTTCCGTCAACTCTGTATGTCGTTATGTACGAACTTTTTTCTGAAGTGATTATATTATTGACTCTTTGCATTATATTGTATTATTATTAGTCTTAGAATGTTAACTTAAGCTATTTAGTACAATGTGGCCTCCTTAACACAGACCAGGAGGAGTTATAATTATGCACAGACCTAGCCTGCGGAATCGGTAGACAGAAATTATGCCTTGGCTTGGCCTAGGCTTATGTACTGTTTGACAAGAGTTGGGTGTCTGTAGACCGGCTGCATGGATTGTGTATGACTAGGCCTAGGCCTAGGCCAGCCAAAATTGAACCTCCTGGCGTGATACTGAAGTTACAGATCCTATCACATTGTTTTAAAGCCCAATTTCAGATTGTTATTAAAAATGATTAATATTTATTATTATTTTAAGCGCATGGAGGTCTCCATTAATGTGCGCTGTAAATTTGACCATTAAATTATTATTATAATAATAATAATATTAGTATTGTTATTTCTATTGTTATTATTGTTATTGTTGTTACTGTTTATGCTCACAAAATCAGTTTTTTTTATATGTACTTTGTTTTAAAATTCATCTTTTTTTTTTTATTGCGATGCGGATAATTGTTTGTAGTAATTTGACGAATGTACATGAATCTTAATGTTTATTTTATATATTGTAGTACTTTACACAATTATGTTTTTGTGTCAATTAAATTAATTTTCACTTTTTAATATTTAAAACGACTTTTCAGGAAATTCGGTGATAAAATTATTTTGTGAAAGACAGTATACGGTATTGTTAATCTGTGTGTAAATGTTTACTTATTTTACTATTTAAGGTTTTTTTTATGACAAGAGATTGATTGGTGACGGCAAGGGACCATTCTGGATCAGTCAAACTTAACTGACCATTTACAACAGGCCCTGGAATGCGCGCATGGGGCCTTAGCAACAATATCCAAGGGGAAGGGCTTATGGAGAAAGGTCCATTCTGTTACTTAATGTGGACAGCCCCTGATCAACAATTTCTTGTTTTGATTGAAAATAAAATAATAATGAGTAATAAACTATAAATAATATGATATATTGATCAACTGATTTTCTCTGCTCAATATAATTAGTAGGCTACAATTCATTGCTTTGAAAAATGCGATCATTTTTGTTGTTAATTTTGATGTTCTTACGTATGAAATCGCTGATGAAAAATGTATGTAGTAAAGTTAATGTTTATGCTTTTATTATGCGTTTATGAACAATTATTGATTATTATTAATTTGAGTGGGTATACGTTATATATACAACATATTATTTATTAAATTAGGTTTATTTTAGTTTATTGTTTTTTCTTTTTTTTCCCTTCAAATTTGTAAAAATAATTATAGACTGCAATTGTTTTATCGTGATTAAACAAAGATTCATTTGAATTGAATTTGGTTATTTTCATAGCTAATTTAAATCACCCACCTGGCCATTTGTGGAGCACAGAATTCTGGGACAGCTTTTACGAAAGGAAATTGAAATCGAAAGAAACTTCGTTTGATTGGTTCCTCACGTTCGAGTCATTGCAGGGTCACATTTTACCGATTTTAAATGGTCCTACCAGTCTACCACCAATCAGGGTGCTTGATATCGGATGCGGCACATCGGACTTTGCTTTAAAACTTTACCGGTCTTCCTCGCCACCAGTTCACCAGATAACCTGTATTGACATCTCCGAAGTAGCCATCAACCAGATGTCTTCAATGCATCGTCAGCTCAAACCACGTGATACGAAATCACCAGGTGTTTGCTACAATACTGGAGACATTAAGAATCTTGATTTTGATAGCGATACTTTTGATATGATCTTAGATAAAGGCACGACTGATGCAATCATTAGGAGCCCTCGAGGGACTGAAATATTTGGTGGGATATTCAAAGAATGTACACGACTCTTAAAAGACGATAGGACATGGGTGCAAGTTTCTGATGCCCCACCAGAGGACCGGCTTGATCTTTTAGAACGATCAAAGATGTCCAGCTCAGAATATAAAGACCCGTTACTACTTATCTCCTACAAGGATTTGGGCGTGCACTTCGGTGTTGAATATTTTATGTATTTGATTTATAAGAGGGGTAAGGTTATCTGAAGATAAGATATAACATTTCCGACTGTCCAGATTCAACAGTATATTACGAAAAAGTTATTATCTAGTCTTATGCACCGCCCGCTTATGGGGGCTTATCCCCAGTTTCTTTAGTTTGAAGCAGATGAGAGTTGTACTCCCCCTGGACGGGACACTAGTCCATCGCAGTTTAGTCCCCAGTAGATTGCTGGTACCCATGGATTGATGCAGCTGGGTGGACTGAAGCAATGTAGCTAAAGTGCCTTGCCAAAGGACACAAGCGAATCTGCACTGCGGAGACTCGAAACCCCGACCTTACGATTGGCTGAACCTCAACCGCTGCGCCAAACAGCCGCTACTGATTTGTACATTACAACCATTTATTTGTGTTACTGAATAAATACAACAGGGTTATCTAATAAGTTTATTTTGTAAGTGTTCATACTGCCTGTTTTATTCTAAAAGTAATTTCAATAAAAAACTAGCCTCTTGGACATTATGCAAATACGCATGTTTTTGTGCGACAACACATATGTTTGTGGATATGCACGTATTCATGCCCCCCCCCCCATTATTCTAATTGGTCAGTTAAACTTTGATAGGTACTTCTGATGAAGTGTCCATTACACCTAGGCCTACTACCCATGGTCCTGATTGACTTTCTTTTTGTTGTTGATGCAATGTGTTCTAAAGTTCCACCAAAGAGATGAACAAATCGCTCTGATAAAAGTTTGGGTAGATCGAGTATTCCGTAGTGTCTTTAATCTTCGTCTTAAAGCTTCAAACCCTTTTCTAACAGTAATTTAAGCCATAAAAAACATGGCCATTTATAAGCTAGGAGTTTCTGAACCATGCATTTGCAATTTTACAGAAACAAATTCGTAAATTTTGACGCAAATGACCAGTGTGACGCGATTTTAGTAACGATTTGCCATCAATGATTGGTCGTGTACTTGAACTTGGTGTAGGTCAAGCGTAATCTCTCAGCGGATTCTATTACTTATTTGCTCGCTTTGGGTTATTAAACAATTAAAATGTAAAAATCAAAACCTCTCGCTCTCCATCGCGTCGTTTAGTCTACCTTTCGAAGTCATTTCAGCGAAAACGACGTAACTTTTCGGAGACGTGCGTTTAATTACGAGCCGCACGTTGAGAGAAAAAAGAAAACTCGATAAAGGTCGAGTAATTTAAGTGCATTTAACTTCACTTCTTGTCACTGTTTTTGAAATGATGAGTAGATAGCGATCGCATATATAACCATACAGGTGTGTTTATAACCTTGCCGTCAAAGACAACTGGTCGTAACATTTTTCACGAACTTATCCCAGTGAACTTCAAATTCCAAATTCAGAGCTCGTTTCCTTTGCTTTACTTTGAGTTTACCCGAGCCTGGTGTTCTCATCTATAGAGAAAAAGTGGTAAAAATGTCTAAATATATAGGCCAATGTTATAGTCATAGATCAAACAGACCTATTCAGTTTACACATACCCTTTAATTCTTTACCAGCCACGTTTATGCAAAAAAATATGGAAAATCTTTAATAATAATAATGTTAATAATATTAGGCCTATTATTATTGTGTAACGTTTTATTCAAAACAATGATACCTTGTCATTCGACAAAACATAAATTTGTATAAAAAGAAAAGAGCTAAACAAACACTTTAGTCCTACACTTTACCTAATGACAAAGGAAGGGATTTAAGCATGTCAACGGCATGTCATGTCAACGGCACAAACTGCTGTTCACGCGGATATCTGCTGTTATTTATCTATTTATTTATTTTATTTTTTTAAATTTATTTTTTTTTTTTTCAATTTCCACTTGCGAGCCGCGCACAATTGCATTTCGTTCCAGTAGGAAGGAAGCTTTAAAGGATATTGTACTATGTATCCGCTGTTTTTTTTGTTGTTGTATTTTTTTAAATTTATTTTTTTTTTTTTCAATTTACTCTTGCGAGCCGCGCACAATCACCTTTCGTTCCAGTAGGTATTTGATTATACATCTGTTATATTGATGATGAAGTTTCATCTTTTCTCATTCTTTTAATTAACTTCCTATGTATCTACGTATTTACAAAGTATAGCGATTTCACAGACGATACCGGTAGGCTATATTCCAATCTACATTCATATTCGGCGTTTAGTAATTTGCCTTTAACTTCCCATATTTGCAATGTAATAACGCATATCACTTCCAATGCAGGTGCTTACAATCATAGAAAGAAATACAACCCATTGCTTTTGATCAAGAATGAGCGAGGTTTGAAACTTGTTTTGTTTATAAAGACATTGATTAATCGATTAGGTGTTTAGGCTTTCACGTTCAAAGTTAATATTTGTACTGTAGGAATTTTTGGATCAATTGTTTAACTGTATTGGATGGATGGATTTATTCGGTGTAAACACTAAGGATAGACTAACCCACGAAAGTCTGAAGAAGACTTATTTTCAGCGGGGTCCTTCTGGTGGTGATTGGGGGCAGTACACAGAGAGAGACAATCTCCTACTATCCTAAGAGGGCAATGCATTCTTTATAGCTTGGTTTCCATATAATCGCCACACGCTATCTCCGACAGCTTTCAGTGATGCTGATTGGTCGGTCGAAACGGGGAGCCTTCCCGATTGCGTCGGGGACTGCTACGCAGTACATTGCACTGAAAACACTGTAGCGACAGTGTAGCGATCAGCCCTCCAGCTGAAATACAAAGAGAGCAGCGATGGGAATTGAACCGGGGACCTAGAGATCTTCACGGTTCAGCGCACACACAGTGGCTACCACCAGTTTAACTGACTGTGAACTAGGCTCCCCACCTAGATAATATAGATAAAGATAATAACGTCGTCTCCTCAAACTCTTCACTTGACGACCAACTTTACCACAGTCAGATGCATTATGGGAGGCAGTCACCATTCGATGATCAAAGTTACGACATCGCATTACTTAGTATTTTTTTCAGCGTGTCCTTGATTAACAACGGATCTAATATTATATACTTAATGTATATGCAATTAATTTGTGTTGTAAATATTTATGAGAGGTCCATTTGTCCTTGTCTTTAATTTATTCAATGGTCACTCGCTCGCGTTATAGTAGAAATAAAATTGACACCCACGATGGCGTGGCTTTACGTACTGTGAATTCGTCATTGAGACAGACAGCATGGTACGTGATAGCATTTTTTTTGTTTAGCCGATATATATTCAAAATAGTTCATATACAGTAAAACCTCGAATTGAGCCCAGTGGGCTTAATCTAGAGATTAATCCCATCTCGAATTGAATTGAAGCCCATCTTTAGTTTTCAAAATTAGCCTCAAAAAGAAGTCCATCTTGAAAAGAAGCCATATAGCATAGACTTCTTTTCGAGATAGTACAGATACACTGTACATGAATAAATAACAAAATAAATTAAAAACAAGCTTGGTTTATACTGTAGTTTAGGTGATTTATGGTCATTTAAATACACTCCATGATACAGATTGATGTTACAATGGCCGTATTTATTGTTTAATAATACAAATTCGCAAAATTTACAGTACTCATTTTGAAAAGAAGCCCCCCCCCCCCCACTCTTTACTTTACAAAAAGTAGCATCGAAAAGAAGTCCATCTCGAAAAAAAGCCCATCTAAAGTTCAGGGCTTCAATTCGAGGTTTACGGCATCAGCAATAGGTCTACACTTCAGGCCCGTAACTAGGATTTTTTTTGGGGGGGGGGGGTTCAAATTTGGAAAAAGTGGAGCCTTTTGAAGATGTTAACGACCAACCAATTGCGCTGACCACACAAATATGAGTTTCATCTTGAAACTTGTATTAAAAGTTGCTACTGTCTATAAAGATTATTTGAACAGGATTGTTTTTTTTGTTTTTTTTTTAAGTTTAAGCAATCTTCTTTCGAGATTTTTTTTTAGCCATCCAAGCGGAGCCAGCTAGCAAACGGCGGGGTTCGTCCGAAACCCCCCCCCCCTGTTTACGGGCCTGCACTTGCCGAATACATTGACAATATGATGATTATGACTTGTCTATTAGGGCTCTAGGCATGTTTGAGAAAAAATAGCTCGCATTAATTGAACCCCATGTGCGTAGACTGGGGGATACCGTCAAATGTTAGTTCCACTAATTGGGTTAAATTACTAAAAACGACCATTGAGTTATTTCATTGGGATAGTTAAATTGTTCCCCATTTTCAATTTTTGCACTCCCCCAAAGGACCTGTGTCAATTAGGTTTCAATCATGAATTGGCGTATCCGGAGACTTTAAATTGTTGAGATTTTTGGGTATTGCGAAGGTGGAGTGTAGGATCGTTGATTAAGGTTGCAAATTGAGGTGGTTTTTAAGGACTTGAGCCTGATATTTTTTGCTCCGGACATTTTCAATAGGTGGGGTCCCCCGCACAATCCCCTGGATACGCCACAATTCGTGGTCCATTGCCTAATTCCCCATATAATATGTAAACATAGCGGTAACTATATATATATATATATATAT